TTATTATTATTATTATTATTATTATTAAATGCCATGTATCAGGATGGCACTCTCTAACTAACTAAATTATAAACTTTGGGGCAATATAACGTTTGATCTGGCCACTCTTGAGTTCTGCACCATGGCTAACCCAGTTATTTGTTGCCTGCCAGTCATGGGCTGATCTCATACCCTCTTCACTGCTTCTTTTCATCCTGCTCTCCTCAAGCACCCTATTTCCCTGCCCAGGGCCATATGTGTATGCAAGAGGGGATGTGTTTCTTGCTTTCTTGCTTTTTCCCTCTTCGCTTGACTCGGGTTTTTTGCCAATGGGTGATGGAAAGCAATCCCCAATCCCCAAAAGAACACAGGCAGCATGGGAATAGTGTTTACTGCCTGACATCTGGGATCGAGGTGGAAGATCCTAAAAGGCAAAGGCACTCAGCCCACCATCTTCCTGGGTTGCCAACCACTTACTTCAGCAGGGCTCCTGTGCCTTTGAAAACTGCTGAAAAGAGAGAAGGTGAACAGATGTGATTTTGCTCTTAGTAGGGTCTGCCTCTCAGACTGTCATGGGGTGTTTCAGGGTGCAGAGGCCTTCTTGACAGGAGCAGGTTAATAAACCTGCGGGGAAGTATTCCTCTCTAGAGTCCTGAGAAAGGAGCACCTGTTAGAGTTCTAGGCAGAGGAGTATTAGCAATGCACTTGATTCACTAGGAACGTAGTTGAGACAGACTTCTTGTTCAAAGTGCTCCCATTGTGTGCAGGCTTCGCTTTCACATTGGTCCCCTTTGTGCAGCCCTAAGAATATGCAGCTTAGGGCCAAAGAAGTATAACCATATGCTCTGTTTCTTATTATCTGAAAACTATATGAAAAATGCATTTTTCTTATGTGGATTTTATCTACTGGTGCAGGTGTGCTAAATGCTGTGTTACACCATCTCCTATCCTCTGCTGTGTCCTTGATGTGGGGGTGATTTTGTAATCCTCCCCTTCCATCCAAATCAGTGGGAGAAAAATTCCCTGCCCCTAGTCTGGGGTTGGGGTAACACAGCACAGTAATCGGGACATGGCCATGGGCTAAAGATGTACAACATGCAGGTGGTGAAAGTGCATGGCTACCTTGTGTGCCATTCACAGCTATGCCCTGTTTTAACTATTCCAGTAGTGGGTCAAAGATGTCCCACCAGTGTGGCTGTTATGATGAAAAATATTTGACACCCCACCAACATAGCAAAACC